ATATATATATATATATATATATATATATTTCTGTATTTGCATGTGCCATATTGTACAAGGTATGCTTAACTATAATGCGTATTCCGTAATCACTCAAAAATTAATTTACAACCACCCCAATTTGATCCATCTCATCTACGATCAACAAGCTTTTCAATATTTGCAAAGTAGCAATCCACTAATTTGATTACATCCCACGACCAGGACAAAGTAATATAGTTACCGATGAACCCTTGAGATTAAGAACGTCTTCTTCACTGGAAAGTACTCGTCTTTCGAGCTCTGATATTCGTTTCTCAAGAACATCAACTGCCGCTCCTTTTTCTTTGGCAGCCATCTTGTTTGTATGATTGAGAGTTGCTAGCGCCCGCAGAGCAAAAGCGGTAGTTGAATATGTCATGTAAGACTCACCAAGTGAACGTGTTACATAACCCCAAGGAAGATGGCTGCGAAGACTCAGAGAGTTCATCACACCATTCACTGGTTTCGTAAAGGCCTCCGATTACATGACAACCAGTCTCTGAGGGAAGCGTGTGAGACGAGTTTAACCCTCAGACCGGTTTATTTTATTGACCCAGACTACGTAAAACATGGAAACATGGGGTTCAATCGTTGGCGATTTCTGATTCAGTCACTCAACGATCTGGACAACAATTTGAAGAGTTTGGGATCTAGGTAAGAGAAAACAGTTAGTTTCTCTTGCACCTTGACCTGGCCACGTCTGAGCTTGTTATTTTTATTGGTGATAATACCTTGTTGGAAAAAGTGGAAAACATTTGTATAGAATGCACTGTAGATTAATCCAAGAAAAGTACGGATTTGGAACCCCCGGCTGCATGCCGGAACCCAACAGACAGAGCCCTGTTTTCAGAGCTGTATGTTTACAAATTGACTTTTTGGTTATTGAATAATGTTTTCTGTCTGAGACGTGAATGCCTGATGAAAGTCTGTGAATATGTTTAGTTTTTAATCTACCACTTTTATGGTTTTGCCAAAATCTATTTCCAATTTCAGAACAAAAATATGGCAAATTATATGATCCAATTTCAGAGCAAAACAGCAGTGGTACATATCTTTATTATATGGCCAGCTCCGTGAGCGGGCAAGATGAATCAAATCCTGCACTGTGATTGGCTACCCAAGCAGGCAAGATGGAGCTATCTTGCCCGCT